CCATCCCAACATGTGAATGACCAATGTGAAAAAGAAATTGCCCCATTTACATCGATAACTTGTTTCATGGCCTTTAGGAACTGCAACCATTTTCTATCATTTTACATCAGGAATTTAAGGTTACTCTTCTTTGCAGAGCTGCTTTAATGGAGATTTACTGGTAGCTTTTCAAGCATGAACTGCTTCGTTGAGGCCCTGCCATAGCATCTCTGCTGGGTCCAAGTTTAAAACTTTGAGGAGGCCACTGTGTCGTCCAGAAAGTTACACTTCAGTCTGGTCTACCCATAGAACATTATCTCAAAGGCCTCAGGGATTTTCTCAGTGTTTTCTTATTTTTCATTTATTCATTCATCATTATTTTTTGCAGATGCAAGATGAGGGTTGTTTTTCTTTTAATTGGCAGTGTTTCTGCTTTTCTGGTCTTCTGTAGATGTCACTTATACCAGGATCCGCCTCTGCCACTGTTTACTGACCTGAGCTGGACATTCATCGCCTTCCAGCTATGTGACGGCTTCTCTCATTTGTAGTCCACACCACACTTGGCCTACCGCCTGTGGCTGCTGCTGTAACTCTTTGGCTTGCATCTGACTACCTGTCAGGCTAATGGCACTGCCTGGTGCGATGCTTTCTCTCTTGCAGCAGTGACTGACCAACTGCTCCACTGCTTGCTATGGCGTTCTCATGCTGAAGCCTTTGATGGCGTCACTGTCACTTTCACCGGCCTCTTGCACACCATCCCCACCACTGTACCTCACTGCGTGAACTTCGCCACTGAGCCTCCTCAGGCCAGCTTTCCCGCGCCTGCTCCAGCCTCTGGTCTTGCCATGCCGTTGTGCCTCGCCAGGCCGTGTTCCCTGTGGAGCCTCACAGCCTCATCCCAGTTATCGTGGTCTTTCACCAGACTCTGCTCTTCTTGCTGTTCATCTTCGAATTCAAGTAGCACCATTCTCTTCTAGATAACTGGGGGGCACTAGCCTGTTTCTGACACCAGTGGAGCATTGGCAGAAACACAGGCATGGCCATGATTCTGCTGCAAGAAATGCTCTTTATTGAACATACTGGCAGAAAGGAGCACATGCAAAACACCAAACTTGAGAGGGAGGTCAAGAGTAGCCTCACACTCCACTTCCTGTGCAGTATTTGCTGTGTACAGGAACTGCGGGAATGTTTCTGTCCTCTTGCCCGCACAGTTCTTGAAATGAAGAATACATGTGCATTTATAATGGGGAGTGAATGAATGGTCCTCACAGATCTATCATTCATGAAGTCTTCAACTCCTGTCATTTTCCTCCTGTTCTCCCTACAGTCTCTGTGGAGTGATTAGGAGATGCTGCAGGCAGTTAAATCTGGACTTTCATTTCTTAAATACCTTTTCACTGCATGTTCTTGTCTTACAGTGAGCATGACTGAACCTACTCTCTGCATTTGAGCAGATTCTGAATAGGGTGTGAGTGGAAAAGCTTGGCTAACCCCTCACAGGAGGCCAGAAACGAGTAACCATTACAGTTCCATTCACACAGGTGATTAGGGTAACATCCTTACTGTGGGAAAACCTTTGATTTAGATCACGTTCACACAGTTAATGAGTGAGTTTCTGACTGATTCCTGTACTCATCTGTACTGCTAACTCATGAGAATTTAACTGTTTATGAACATTTCATAAACCTTTTTAGTGTATTTAATCATTCTACATTAAAACCACACATATTGACATTTATAGCTGTTACCCTATCGCATGTAGGTCATATGTACAGTCAGATCTCATCAGGCTCCACAGTCTATTCGGTACATTCAAAATGGGCTACGCTAAAGTGTCTCTTCTCATTTATTCCTATGAGATGGTTCACCAACCTGAACATAAGTCCAACATGAGCTCCACTGACGACTGCTGACCACTGTTCTTGTGGGAAAGTACTAGAACAAAATAAAAACAAAAACAAAATAAAAACATAGCTGTATTGATGGGACATGTTTGACACCAATTACTGATTTAATTTCAGAAGAATTTCAAGTTGGCATCAAAACTCTCCTCACTACTGTGCTGCCTCTTGTTTTCGGTTTGCTGCGCTCCTCCTTACCACCTCGATTGTTTTCTAACTGACCGCTATTGTGGTCAGGACCATCTCATCAGGACAGCAATCACATTATCTACTTTCATTTTCACAAAAGTTAAAATGTATGACAAAAACAAAAGGAATAGCTTCGGTCATCATATTACGATGAAAATCCGAACCATTTTTTAACCCAAGTTGGTGCCCATGTGTGCATCTGGAAAAGATGCTGCTTCTTTCAACCTTGAACTGCAACATCAATATGAACTTATATAACATGTTGGAAAATGAGTTACTTCATGTAAAAGAATGAAATGATACATCATTTTGTATTTGGAAGCAAATAAAGGATATAAAATGTGTGCTTCCCAAACCTGTGCAGTATTTGCTGTGTACAGGAACTGTGGGAATTTTTCTGTCCTCTTGCCTTTACAATTCTTGACATTAACAAAACATGCGCATTAAAAATGGGGAGTGAATCAATGTTCCTCACAGATCTACCATCTATGAATCTTCAACTCCTGTCATTTTCCTCCTGTTCTCCCTACAGTCCCTGTGGAGTGATTAGGAGATGCTGTAGGCAGTTAAATCTGGACTTTACCTGCTCAAATACCTTTTCTCTGCATGTTCTTGTCTTACAGTGAGCATGTACTGTACTGCCAACTCATTAGAATTTAACTGTTTATAAACATGTCATAAACTTTTTTAGTGTATTTAATCATTCTACATTAAAACCACACATATTGACATTCATAGCTGTTACCCAGTCAGATCTCATCAGGCTCCACAGTCTATTCAGTATATTCAAAATGGGCTACGTTAAAGTGTCTCTTCTCATTTATTCTCATGAGATGGTTCACCAACCTGAACATAAGTCCAACATGAGCTCCACTGACGACTGCTGACCACTGTTCTCACTGTGCCTCTTGTTTTCGGTTTGCTGCGCTCCTCCTTACCATCTCGATTGTTTTCTAACTCACAGCGTTATTGTGGTCTGAATCATCTTATCCACAACTGCCCACTGCAAAAGAATGTGTACCGGAGAAATACAAGAGTAACAGGATGCTCCCAAGTCGGTGGTCAGCAAGTTTTCTTTTACATCCCCTCATCCTGTGTCACATTGGCTTCACTTCACTTTGGTGTTCTTGTTCATTTTCTGAAAGCTTTATGAGATTCTGTGAAGCTCTGTGAAAAGTCGGGGACGAGCACCAATTGTTTTCTATCAGCTTTTCTCCTGGTTTTGAAACAGGGAGATAGGATAACGTTTTAATTTTTTGTTTCATTTAGCTTTCAGGCTTAGTTAGTTTTTAAAACTTTTAGTTGTCGTTGTTATTTTGGCACATGCTCGTCCCTGAAATCCTTATCCCATAACCATCATCTTAACATTGATACTTTTAATAAAATCTAATTACACCCGAGCAGTTTTCTGGTTTAAATGCTGTCTGGTGTTTAAATTTGGTGTTTACAATAAACAGAAGAAGTAATATGCAGTACAAAAACACAAATAATTGCATAAAAACTATGCAGTTGACAATGCAATCCAATGTACTTGTGACATTTAGTTTCCTTTTCAAGACACACATCAGTTACATCTGCAGCTGTGCAAGCCTTGCTGTGTTGTCACATTTTGTCAATACCTCATTGCCCTCAACAATGATGGCAACATCAACCGCATCTCCGGCAGCCTGGGCAACAAGGATCTTCAGGACGTGCAGTGTAGTTCAATCGTCAGTCTAGTCACTGCAGTTGTCCTGATTGTTGAATTCCAACAATATAAGTAAATAGATAGAGAAAGATTACATGTTCTGTTCACATTTCAATACATTTTCTTCAATAATCAATGTTTTTTTATGTGGAACAGTAAACTGCTCACGCAATCACACTCTTGATTTTTACAGCAGTCGGCACACAAATGTTGCGTTGTTGCCACTTTCAAGTGTCATTTTCCTTCAGTGTTCATTCATTTTAAAGCCGTCTTTCCAGGTCAGTCGTTTTCAAAATATTAAATAACCATTTTCTTTTTTCAACATTCTCCGTCTCCACATTCTAACCTTCCCCTACCTGCCCTATTTTCCATAATTGTGTCTTGTCTTTCATGTCTCAGCCATTGATATAGACAACAGCATCTTAACTGGCTAAAATATTAGAGTACTGGGGCAGTCGTGGGGTGGAGGTTAGGGAACCAGCCTTGCAACCGGAAGGTTGCCGGTTCGATCCCCTGAGCCGACAGTACGTGACTAAAGTGCCCTTGAGGCAGCTAACCCCCAATTGCTCCCCGGGTGCTGTGGATAGGGCTGTCCACTGCCCTGGGCAAGTGTGCTCACTGTCTTCTAGTGTGTGTGTTCACTAGTGTGTATGTGGTGTTTCACTGCACAAATGGGTTAAATGTGGAGGTGAAATTTCCCCGTTGTGGGACTAATAAGGATCTCTTAATCTAATCTCATCACATAGTACCTCACTGTGTGGTATTTAACAAGTTACAGTGCTAATTCTGTTTCTTTAATAATTCTACCAGTTTCCAGACAGTTACCTGTCTTTTATTTCTAGATGTGGGCCACATATGTCATGCCGGATGTGGCCCGAATTTGGTCCTCTTACTACAGGTATTGGCCCCTATGCTCGACCCTGATGACATCACCCGGGTCTGACACTGCTCCAGATGTCCAGCACCCCAAACACCTGTGTAGTGCACTGCTAGCAGGGTGGCGACCCCTGGTTCCTATCAGCACCACTGTAAAGAAATCTGAGCCTGTAAGTTTCTCTCTTCTGAATGACTTTGTTTGTATTTCAACGATTGAATTATGTAGAATTTCTTAAAAATTTGTGGAATTCCCCTTTAACTCCCAGAGAGTCTATTGTCACATTGCTGTCCTCCTCCACCCATCAATAGTCAGCATTATGATGAGGTTGCTGACGCCTCCTTGTGTATAGTTTGTTGATGACCCTCTGTTTTTTTAAATAGGTGGAGCTGCAGGCTGCTATTTAAAGTCCTCATACAGTCCTTCAACACAGCCTAATTCTACGTGGGACCAAGGACACAGGTACAAGGTATTAATGCTTATTTTTTCTTCTGCATATTTCATATTTCTGTACTGTGCAGTTCTGTAAGTTTATGCCCATTTAATCCATGTATGCTTTCATTAATTTTCTAAGCAAGAAAATAGAAAATAGACCTTTAAAAATGAAATTTCCTTGTAAAATGTAAACAGAAAGATGTGATAAAAGAAAGAAAGCTACCTGAAAAAGGTCCTTACTTTCACTTTCAATAGAAAAAGAATGAAACTGAAACACTGAAATACTGTTGGGTCTTAATCCTGCTCTTATTCACAATGCTACCATTTTTCAAATCATGTTTTTACTGTAACTTTCTTATCACTGTTGTATTAAATGAATTGTAGAGATCTTTTCCCAGTTTTGCACCATGGCAGTAGAGAGAAAAGTGTATGTTCTCTACACTGGAGGAACATTTGGAATGAAAAAAGATGATACTGGTAAGTTAATCATTTATGAAGTCTTTGCAGTTCTTTGGATTGTGTGTCTCAAGTCTTTGTTTCAGTGAATGCAAAATGAGCATAAGTTCCATAAAGGACACTTACTGAAGTACTTTATTCAAGTGTCTGAATTGTATTAAGTTATTAGCATTTCACAGTAAAATATCTACTTTTTCTCTGAGTAATTCCACACACTCAGAATCAGTGGGATCCAAGTACATGACATTATTATTTGTCAATCTCAAAATTGGGTCAAAATTGATACTTTTCAAATTGAGAAGAAACACACAATCAAACAAAAACATGATAATCATTAAACAGAGCAGAGGGTCAGTTACCGAGAGAACAGAGACAACCTGCAGACTCAGACTCAGAGTGACAAACACACAAAACTCTGCTTACAAATCCTACTTATGAGCTGAAACAGTAGAGGAGTGAAGGGCCTCTCAGAGCTGAGGGGAGAGGGACCTCTGGAGGTGAGGAGCGGAATTCCCAGGGGCAGATATGACACTCCAATACTTTCTGTACAGATTTGTGTTAATTGTTACACTGAAATGAGAGAAAACTGGATTTTCTGAAACAATATCTTAAATCCAAGCAAACCAATCATGCAGACAAGCTCTAAGAAGCTTTCAGAGTTTGTGCAGAGAGGTTTTTTTTTATATGCTCTGTTTTTCTGTAACAGCCAGATTAACTCACAGGACTTCTGATATCTGAGTTCATTTTAAAGTACTTAATTCCGCTTTTCCTTGAGTCACATTTTACAAAGTATCTCTGATTCATTTAAAGGCAGGAGTTGTGTATTTTGTGATCCACTGGTGAATTGATTTAAAAATGTCATTATTTTCGTATGAAGGGAGACTCGCTCCACAGGGTCTGGATGGGATCAAAGACTTTCTCATCGCCCACACCATCCTTTACGAGAGGAACCCAGGAGAATCAGAGGAGGAAGTCAGGAAACGCATCATCACCCCGGATGGTCTCATCACACTATAGTGAGTTAAACCTTATTTTAAAAGGTTATTTTATACATCATGTATTGTATTATATATATTATGTATGAAAATATATTGTATATATTTGTGGATTAATAGCTAAATCTCTCACTGAAAAATGGGAAAAATGGTGAATCTTCAGTTGAAGTATATTTAGTCTAAGAAAACAAAACCAGGTGTCACAATTAAATGCACAATTAAATGCATGAATGGACCAAAAGAAATGACCCAAAATGACTTTGAAAAAAGTCTGAATCCATTGACTTAAAAGTAGTGACATTAAGTATGTTTTTTCCTTCTCCTAAAGTTATTATTTTGGGGATACAAGGTTTTGATCCAACAACCACAATATGTTTGCGAGTAAATTAAAGGTTTGGGTAACAGTTTGTAAAACAGGTCCTAATAAACCTGAATATTATCATCATGTAATTATCATTGTTAATACTGTATTTTGTTAAATTTGGTTAACAACAATATTAAAGCTATATATAAACTAATAAATGGCACTGTTTCAACTAGTAACCATTTATTTAGTGACATATGAAAAAGTAATTTGTTTCAATTGAAAACCTAATCATTAAATCATCAGAGGGGTCCAAGCACCATTTGCAAAGAGATCCTTCATGTGAATTACTAATCACAATCTAAGTGGGTGGGGCTACATGTTTCTTGAGACTTTTTGTGGGGCATAAGACAAGAATTCAATCTATGTTGCTAGTTTGTTATGCGCAAACTTTTCCTTGCTGATCATTATTAAATCATTAATACATATTGCTTTTAATCATTAAAATAATTAGACCTGTATTATAAAGGTGTGACTTTGTAATGTTTCAAGATATACTGTATTACTTATTATACCTCAATATATTTATGAAAATCATTTACAGTCCTTTTAATATTTGTATGTTGCTAAAAATTTGAGTAATAGCACTTATTAATGCACAAGTACACATTAATTATTTACATTATTTCCTAATGTAAATGTACCACATTTAGCCAGATGACTAATTTTCACCTGCAGTCATCTCATATTTATACCCCAGTTAAACAGGACATCATGTATAACAACTTAATAGTTCCTGAACACTCAAGGGAAGGGAACATACATCAGTTAGTAATCTTCAGGGGTGCTACGGCACACTTTGGGGTGAGTTGTAACATTTACACTCACGCTGCTTTTGGCTGAATTGTAGTAGCATAATAATATATTAACCTTGTTCAAAATTATTTAGGAAAAATCTAAATATGTTAAGCTGTCCTGCTCTACCTTACATGTGTTGTCTAGAGAGCATCTACCTATAGAATGATTTAAGTATGATTTAGAGCACTATTAGTACATTAAGTGGCCATAGGTCTAAGCCAACGGAGCCTTTTTACTGTAGCCACTTGCTTCGGTAGAAAGAAATGTTGGTAACACTTTCTATGAATGTCACATTTGTAAGCATCTATAAACACATTTATAACATGTTATAATGCATTCATAAGGCATTATAAACATGATTATAAACATTAAAAAAATGAATTACACTTTATTGTATTTATTATGTTTATTATACATTATGAATTGTTAATATAATGCATTATAAATAGTGTTAATAACATGTTATAATGTCAGTGCCAAAGAAGTCAGTCCCAGCTTGGAGAGCGTAAAGTAAAGACAAATACCAAGCTAACGGTGGTGTACATTACCTTTCCCACATTGGGTAAAACACTGATGGCAGCTCTAGTTTAAACTCTGACATTTGAAGCCTGTAATGAGCTTTACTGTGAATGTTTTAGTGTTTCAGTAAATCCTTCAGTAAATACTTCAACTTGAAGCCTCACTCTGAACACTGGAGGAGGCTTTAGTACAGTACGCTTCACTTTACTTAGAGCGGACAAATACGACATATGAGCTCTTATAATTTGTTATGAACAGTACTTATAATGCATTATGTTAACAACCTGGAATCAGTCAGAAATGAACCCAATACCATTCGCCAAACAACCATTAAATCTCTTTAAATGTCCCCAGGATGTAGTTCTTTTAAACCTACCTGTGTGCTTGAACTCAACACCCGACATCTTTTCTGTCTGAAAGTTCATTAATTCTTAATCAGTTTCTGAGCTGCTGAGTGTCTATAGTATTTACAGTGTTTATGCTGGTTGAACTGCAGCTGAACGCAGCTGGTGTGTTTGGTGATATGATGTGTGCAGTTGGGCAGAAAACTGCTGTCCCATAGACTGTTGTTGGGAGTGGGCTGTCAGTGGAAATTACGTTGCAGTGCATGCTGGGGATTGTAGTGCTGCTCATGGTGAAATCGGCTAATACATATATATATATATATATATATATATATATATATATATATATATATATATATATATATATATATGTTTATATGTATATATATATATATATATGAGGGTCTATATGATCTATATGATATATATATATATATATATCAAAATAATTTTTAGGGCCTTTCTGGCCTGCAGGCCTTGTGTTTGCGAATGGGCCTTAGATGATAAAAACAGGAGACAAAGGAAGGGACAAAAAACAAACGGTGCCCATCCAGTAAGTCTTAGTTGATATTAATATAAATAGGAAGCTCACATGATAGATTTACAAGATTATGACAACTTTTCAGGAATATATAGTAAATAGTTTAAGAGTTTAACCTATATACCTAGGCCTATATATCTAAAGGGCAGCAAATGATTCTAACAACAAGGCTATTAATCTGACAAAGGACAACAAATATTTCAAAGCCCAAACTGCCGCAGCCGCATGGTGTCAGACTGAAGAACCCAGGCAGCCACTGCTCGTTGGTCCAAGTAGGCACGATCAAACCATGTCAAGCATTGCATGTAGACCACCCCCCGCACTGTAAAACATCAGCCTGGAAGAAAGATGTCAGACAGAAACACAGAGAAAAGGCTGAAGGCCAATTCCAGACCAGAAAAGGGTTAAATGACCTCACTGAATACAACCTAGGATGTAAAAGTGTGACATTAAACTTCCACAAAGCCTACGAGAAAAGCTGTTTGAGGCTCACATTTAGTATGAATTTCAGTACAATATTGAAAATTGTAAAAAAAAAAAAAAAGAGAGGGGGGCTTATGCTATGGACACAGCCATGATTAAACGACTGGGTTATTTCTGAAGAGTTTATTATTATAAAGGTTGGTATTTTGGGGTTTGTGTTGTTAGCGGGGGACACGGCACAAACTGAGAAAGTTCTACTGGAGGACTTTCATTTATCTGAGAGAAATTTGTTTGTAAAGTCACTTTGTTCTTTGTTTTCTCAGTCACCAGTTGGCTGATGATGACCCCAGAACCAAAGACAAACAGTACAAGATCCTTTACAAACTTGATACCCTACCAAAGCCAATTGACTCCTCAAGTTTGGTCCCTGATGATTGGGGAACCATGGCTGAAAGAATTCAGGTGAAATACAAAAACCCATCCTTCACTATTTTCTCATGAACTATAATCATTTAGTTGTGTTTGGGTTTTTATCTGCCTTTCATTCTCTCTCCCTTTCTTTTTCTCTTTTCATCTCTCTCTCACTTTTAGCTTAATATGGAAAAGTTTGATGGGTTTGTTATTATCCACGGCACGGACACGATGGCCTTCACCGCTTCTGCTCTGTCCTTTATTCTGAGGGATCTCCACAAGCCTGTGATCGTGACGGGAGCTCAGGTCAGGTTTCCAGCCCACAAATAATTGTTTTTATCATGCATTTTTAAATATTTGCACATTTTTAACATATTTTTGTTCTTATGAGTGAGTCTGGAGGACATGGTGTATGTGCAGGGTTCCTTTAGCCCTCAGAACATGTAATTTAGCAGTTTGATTCAAATGTAATTACATAATCACATAAACACAATCAGTTACATTCACATTCAACTTCCATTCTGTATCGACAGACTTGAGTCGGAACTTTTTGTCATCAAAGATTGCAAAAAAATGAGTAGAGGGTTTTTTTTCTGTCTGCAACACAACACTAAACACACAACCATGACTTTTTTCATCAAATTCAAATCATAATATCTCCTCTTCTACTTACAGACACCAATGTGGTCTGGATTAGAATCTGCACTTTCCAAACAATATCTCCTCTTGTTTCTGGGAGCTACAAGCCACATATACTTCATATAAAACTGTGATTCCTCCTTCTCTTCCACTGTATCTCTCTGTAGATGCCCATCTTCCATCCTCGGACTGACGGTCTGGATAACTTTGTTGGTTCTATGCTCATGGCTGGGTACTTTTCTGACAGAAAAGTGCTGCATAAGGTTGGCTGAAGAACAGTAACATTAACCTCAGTTTGTTTTATATTATGTTTTGTTTGTTTGAATTATGCATCCATATTGAAAACACATGACTGCTTATTATGTAGGTCCTTTAATAACTGCTCCTGCGCAGTGTTTGTCTTTATTTTTTTCTTGCTATTTCTGGCATTTCAGAAATAAAGGTACTAAACTGTCACTGGGGCAGTGCCCCTCCTGTCACTGGGGTGGGACCCTCAAGGGTACATCTCAGTACCTTTAGTCAGGGAACATAACTGAACCATAATCCACTGAAATGATATGTTCTAAGCTGTACTGACTCCACACACCCCGTCTCGTCTCCAGGCTTTTATTTTACTGTTCTGTTTTAAAACATTCAGTTATGAAAAGGTACAAATACGAACTTTTCACCTGGAAAAATGTATTTAAGGTTCACAATATTATGTGCACAAAAGCACATAATAAAAGTCAATATTTTACATCATAATACAGATTGAAGGCGTTTATTTCTGCGCACACCATCATAATGAAATGTTACAATAGAAATGAACAATATTCGCAGTTTTGATCTCTATTCTCTACGTGCAGGTGATGCTTTATTGCTTGAACAAACTGTACCAGGGCAACCGAGTGGTGAAGGTTGACTGTGACTCCTTCGGTGTGTTCGACAGCCCTGACGTTTATCCTCTTGCTAGCCTGGAAAGCACAATCAAGCGTAAGTGTCACATGACTTCACTGTTTTCAGGTTTTCAAGACCTACATGAAACTTTCATATTTCACTGGAAAACAAATGAATGTCTTTATGTTCTCAGTGATTACTTCAGTAATTGAGCATAAGAAGGTGGAGCCTGTCGTCTCCTGCTCTGTGAAGCGCACGTTCACATTGAAAAAAAAACCAGAAGTGAGGATCCTGCGATTTTTCCCTGGGGTGACAGAAAGCTATGTAAGTGTATTACAAAATTCAGTACTGTATGCTGATGCAACCGTCAGCATTAGTTCTACTCGTTCATTGAAATCTGTCTGTTAGTTTATCTTTTCTGTAACATAAAGCCGGCAGCTTCATTTACATTGTTCTTGCACATGTACAGTTCCACTGGTGGTATTTGCTGTGGTCAGTCCTGAGATCACGCAGCACTGGCAGCATAGACCGTGGTCAGTCCTTAGATGATAAGGCACCACCGGTATAGACCACTGACAATGAGAATGTTAATGAGGCAAAATTTACATCAATCAGTCAACCTTAATTTAAACTCGGGGTACACTGTGGGTGACCCTCATTTACAGTGTAGCCAAGCATTGTTCAAAAAATGAGGGACTGAAAAGAGTAAATATAATTTATGATAGTTAGAGTGTAGCAGAAAAAGACCAAAAATGATTATTAAAACAGTACATAAGAAGAAAAGAAGTAAAAAATTTAAAAGACAAATAAGATGAAAAAAACAAAACAATTGGAGAAAACTATTCAGTAGATTAGCAATAACAATAAATAAATAAAACAGCTAAGTAGAGTAAAAAATATATATCGCTGTTGAATAAATAAATAAATAAATAAGTAAATAAATGGAGTATATCACTGCTGTAGAACAAAACCTTGTATCTCCAAAACGGTAACTTTACAGGAGAAGGAAAAAACCTACTTTACTTTTAATGTAAGTCAATGGAACCAGATGTTTTTCCAAGTCATTTTGTGTTGTTTCTTTTGGTCCATTCTTCATGAAACTGGCATTTTCAAATTATGATAAAAACTGAAAAACAACAAAAATGGAGATTTCTTCAGAAAGCAGCGATATATTAAATAGAAAACAATACTAAAACAATGATAGTGATGATAAATAGTAAAATGATATATGTTTATCAAATAAATGTCACCAAAAAAAAAGAAAGAAATGCTAAACAATTCCTTAAAGCATTGTGCAAGTGCACTAGGAGGACCTCCTAGTAATATGTAAATATATATAAAGAAAATATGTTTGTCAGAAATGCAGGTGCCCTAAAGGTGTACTCAACAAATGTGTATATATGAAGTCTCTTGCCTGCTGTCCAGGTGCAAGGAGTTCTGGATGGAGCTGATGGTGTTGTCCTGGAGACCTTTGGTTCTGGGAATGTTCCAGAAGTTGATTGGCTGAAGAATCTCCTGACTGAAGCAGATAAAAGAGGTGTTCTGATGCTGAACTGCTCTCAGGTGTATCGTGGCACTGTCTTACCCATCTATGCTGCATCAAAGGTACCACTCAGCAAAAGCTTTTTGACCCTCAGGAGTCTATAGATTTATCATTGTGGTCTTTCTACACTATTAAAGTGAAACGCTGTAGTTCGTAGCAGGAATGGAGTGAGTTTCTGTACCTCCTCCCATCTTTCAGTGTGCTGCTCTCTTCATGTACTGAAATGCCTCATATTGTACACTGACACAGTAATTGACAGGAGTAAGTGCTCTACGGTGAGATATTGGCAGAAAGCTGAGTGGATCAGAACAGCAGCACCAATATCTCACAGTACAGCACCACCTTGAGGATATTATTGCAATTACACTACAGATTATACACTGAAAAAAGGGCACTGACTTTACTTAATTCAAATGTACTTTGGTTCTGCATAAATAAAATATATTACATCAACTCAGTTCTTGCCAAAAGTGAGTAAACTGAAAGAAAGAACTGTGTTGATGTAACCTGAGTAATATTATATATAACAATGTAATATATCACTACTGTTGGAACAAAACCTTGTATCTCCATTTTTGTCATTTTCAGTTTTTGACATAATTTGAAAATGCCTGTTGCCCTTAACATTGTTTCAAAATTCCATGATAAATGGACCAAAAGAAACGGCCCAAAATGACGTGAAAATGTGTCTGGTTCCATAGACTTACATTAAATGTAAAGTACCTTTTTTCTTTCTCCTGTAAAGTTACTGTTTTGGAGATAGGTTTTGATCTGACAACAGCGATATATTATTCACGTGCAACTGATGTGCAAATTTGAACCAAGTAAAGAGCACCACCATTCATAACTCGTTACTTTATTAGGTAACACTTCATTGGACTACATAACACATGCATAAGAACTGAATAACATATGTATGAAGCAATATTTGAGTATTTATGACCATCTAGTCATAAATAGTAGCTAGTAACTGCAAAATCACATTTTAATGATTTAACGTTAAATGACATGACATTGACATAAGGGACCCTAAACTGAAGTGATGGGCTGTTCTGTTTATAACACTGTTATGAACCATCGTTCCCAAGTAATGAAACATAAAAGGAAGGTCTAGTTCAGAGGTTTACATCAGTTCTGTGTAGTTCTTCATGTGTTACAGTACAAAACACCTATGTCAATAAGCCATTTACTATAGCTTATAGTATCTTGCGATTATCCACATAAGCGCATAAATACTCAAGTATTGCCTTATAAATACCGTAATGAATGCTTATGCATGTGTTATGACATCCATATGTATGTAGCCTTCAAATAAAGTGTTACCCTTTATTATTAGATTCTGAGACAATTACACCACAAAAACTGGTTAACAAGCATGTTTATTTACATTAATCAAAGAAAGGTAGGGTAACACTTTCTATGAATGTCACCTTTGTAAGCATCTATAAACACATTTATAACGTTATAAAGTATTCATAAGGAATTATAAACATAGTTATAAATATCTATAAAAAAGAATTACACTGAATTACACTTTATAGCCATGTTTATTATACGTTATGAATTGTTACTATAATGCATTATAAATAGTGTTAATAACATGTTATAATGTCAGTGCCAAAGAAGTCAGTCCCAGCTTGGAGAGTGTAAAGTAAAGACAAATACCAAGCTAACGGTGGTGTACATTACCTTTCCCACATTGGGTAAAACACTGATGGCAGCACTAGTTTAAACTCTGTCATTTGAAGCCTGTAATGTGCTTTACTGTGAATGTTTTAGTGTTTCAGTAAATCCTTCAGTAAATACTTCAGCTTGAAGCCTCACTCTGAACACTGGAGGAGGCTTTAGTACAGTACGCTTCACTTTACTTAGAGCGGACAAATACCACTTATGAGCTCTTATAATTTGTTATGATCAGTACTTATAATGTATTATGTTAACAATTCATAATGCATAATAAACATGGCTATAACATATAATGCATTTTTATAAATATTTATAGCTATGTTTATAATATCTTATGAATGCATTATAACATGTTATTAATGTGTTTATAGATGCTTACAAAGGTGACATTCATAGAAAGAGTTACCAAAGGTAGCTCTGATATACATAAACATGGCTAAAGAAAGTATCATATTGCAAAAATGTCAGGATGTCTATGCTGGAAACGTCAGAACATAAAGAACTACAGTTCTACCAGCTAACAACGTAAGCGCTGAACTAACTGCACACTTTACATTTGTATAACATGTTTTAATGCAATATTAAAAGCTCATAATAGGTAATAATTATAATAAATAAGAACGTCCATCCAGATGTTGATCTGTCTGAATCTTCAGCAGGCTGCAGTTTCTCTATAAACCGTTAGATTTTGGTTAATGTTCTTATAGAATTTAAAGGATCTTCCAGCTCACCTTTCTCCACCTCATGGATTAGTTTCTTCTCGTCTGTTTCTTGGCTAGTTTAGTTTTGCTGAAAGGTTGGCTTGACCACTGTATTTGTTGAGGTTTTAGTTTTGTCCTTGTCGCTTGATGTGCTGTTTTCTTTTAGGAGGAGATATTATTTTCTATCGTCCTGCCTGTAAGCATGGAGAACGCTCCATGTACAGTGATCACTGTGATCTCACTTCATTTTGTGTCAGATTCTGACAGATGCACATGTTATTCCTGGATATGACATCACTCCTGAAGCAGCAATGACCAAACTGATCTGGGTGCTGAAATCAGATCTTGACCATCTGAGAAGACAGCAGGTGTGTCCGAGCTTTGCTTTTATTGGAATGTGTTTTCCCTCATTGTCAAAATGTCATATTACTATGTGTTTATTAAAGTTTTCATCAAAGCAGTGTTTGGTGGTGCTGGTTCATTATGCGGAGGAACTAGTGCTGACCTGAGAAGCTGCTAGCTCACTCCCAACCACCATGAGATCCTCTAGGACAAAAACCTGAGCTAAAAGATAAAAGGAAAATGTAAGATTAGGTTTTAGGTAAGAAAATAATGTTTGTGTGCTTTCTGATGTGTTTCAGATACTGGAGCACAGCGTCTGTGGAGAGTCACGTGCCCCCGCGATGTGGGTGAGTCAGAGGCCTTTTCTGTTCCTGTGGAATTGATTCAGGATTATGATGACGTTCGTACTTAAAACCCTTCTCTCCACTTTTTTCAGCTGAAAACAGAACCTGGCCTGTGAGGACGGACACCGAACCAAAATCAACGTCAAGATGATTAATTATTAAAACATGAAATGATTTGATCTGTTTGTGGGAAAGGTCATGAAAACTATGTCCTATAACATAATCAAAAAACTAATTGGTCCCACTTTATATTGTGTCTCTATTAACTTTGTAGTTACACATGAGTAACACATGTAAGATCATTGTTACTACTGATGATATTGTCACTGTTACAGATGGATTACAGCAGAACAGCTCACATAATTACATGTGTCATCTTCAGTTTTGCCTCATATAAGTAGACGTGTATCTTGATAGGTGTAACAGCATATTCTCTATCATGTAATCAACGAAGGCAATAACATAAATGTAATTACATTTGTAATTACACTGTAACAGCAGTTTTTAAGACATCTTTTCCATCAGTGAAAGGAAGTGTGTAATAACTCACAGTAAGACATTAATTACACTGGATCTGCACTGAAAATGTCAGTTTTCCTAACATTTAGCTAACATTTACTTTGCTAGTGCGGTGACATTGTAACCAGTTTCAGCTTTAAACCATTCTGTAATGTGATGGTTCTTACACAGCAACAGCCACAGCAATGTCCACTTATCTTAAAATGTAACTTGTATGTATTTAATTAAATGTGTTGCATTATATTGTCTCTATTCCCACTTTGTTATTACACAGTACCTACATAACAACTACACAGCAACAGTCCACTTATTTTAAAGTGTAACATTTATGTGATTACTTTAGAATAACTGTGCTGCATTATGTTACTCTTAGCAATTTCTGGATTACCTGAATGTAACTTTGCAGTATTTACACAGAACAGAATTTCAAGTGTTTTCATGAATGTACACATTATCACAAACAGTGCACACTGATAGATTTGAAATCTTTATTGTTTGTCCATTTAAATCAGTCTCATAAAATTCAACACTGTTTAAGATTGAACACTGAAGAAGTCTCCTCAGTTTCCACAGTAGCATTTAGCATCTATTGATGTACAATCAGACAAACTGTAAAAAAGTACCGCAGTACCTTTACTGTATTTTTTGTTTTAACTAATAAAAGTAACCGGCTGCCATAAAATATTGTGTTGATCAAACCTCTAAGTTAAAAGAACAATAATCTGGCTTCCATTCTGCAGCTCAATATTTGATTTGAGAAGTTTGATTAAAGGTAATGTTTAAGTTGTCCAGGTAAATTTATGAGTTAGAACAGCACATTATTGTTTTTGTTCAGTTTTTTAACTTTACTTGATATTACAAAACATACAGTTATATAAAGAAACTGACAAGGGTTAGTACAACGAATTTATTTCAATTAGTATTTAACTGTGCATTTATGTCAGACTGGATATCTGCTCTTTTGGGGTAGATTTGAAAAAAAATCTGGATCCGCAGTCATAGTTCTGCTACAACAGCAGTTGATGCCAAAGTGTTTCTGTCGACACCAGCTTTCTTGAAGGCCCTGCTCACACTCCCCTCCTTCTTGAGGGCTTTAACCCTCTATTGTATGAATTATTACTTAGACATGATACAAATCTTTTAATGTGTATTTGTTATTTAAAAGTAGGGTATTTGGTAAATTGTTGCCATATGGCAACACTGCCCAATCATACCCTAGCACCATAGAATCTAAAAAAGTTTTTCTCTAAAAACATCCTTTTCTTGAAAACAAGACCGAACAAATGCAACTTATGCTTAGTGAAACGTATGACTCAAAATTTACAAATATACAATTGGTATTTGGAATATATGGTAATAACAACATTCTAATAAAAATTCCTGATCATGTGATATCATACAATATTTGTCCTTTCAAAGTAAAAGACCCCTTTTCCACATTTAAATAGGTAAACACAGATTTTATTTTACTGCTTTTTAGTAAAATTGAGATGAAGTAATTGTTGCCATATGGCAACACCGTGAAATAGAGGGTTACGAGTCACCTTAAGACATCTTCAGGAATTCTTGCTCTACAGGCAGAAATAAAATATGATAAGGCAAAGAACTGCGCATTATAGTTTCAGAAATGTACTTGCCACTTATTAAAATAAAACAAGTAAAATACACAACGTAAAAGATATTAGACACATCATAATTTTGTAAAAATGCATGTGTATATGTCAAATCTAGCCAAGTCAAAGTTTATTTATATAGGGTTTTTTAAAACAGGTGTTGTCACAAAGCAGCTTTACAGAAAAATCCGGATCCAAGCCTGCACGAGCGTTGCCAATGGCGACAATGGCAAGGAAAAACTCCCTAAGAACAAGAGGAAGAAACCTCGAGAGGAACCAAGACTCAAAAGGGGAACCCATCCTCCTCTGGTCAACACCCTCTCAGCCAATCACAATTATCTCTAAATGCTGCCTTTGTCAAGTGCAGGACAACTGATACAACAGAGTCCTCAGAACAAGCCTGCAGTGAGAATGGAGGTGTAAATTAATTAGTATTATTAGCGTAAGAAATGGTGGAAAAGTGTTAGTGAGGAACGTGTAATGCCTGACTCACACTATCCTGATCATCTGAAGCAGTGGTTCCAAACGTTGGTCGTGTGCACATTGTAGTGTTTTCGCTGTTCCCAACGTACCTGATCCAACCAATCAGCTCATTAACAAGCCCTTCATGACTTGAAGAGGGTGTGCTGGGAGCCAGGAAAACACTAAAATGTGAGAGGCAGGGGGTTCTACAGGACCAGGGTGGGGACACAGTGATGGACTGGAGGTTGGACCTGTTTTTGTTTCATTCCTGAAGCTGAAAAAGTTTTGGTTTAAACTCTGTGGAAGACCAAACTCACAGCTTAGAGTCAAAACTATTAACAGACAGAATTATACTGACTCTACGGTCAGAAAAGCTCAATCTGAGTTTCTGTACCTGCTAAAAATAATGTCACAGAAAAATGTTAAGAGCAACTAGCTAGACAGTTTCTTAACGTAGCTGCTGACAACTTAAGTCAGATTAAACAGGACTGTACAACAAACTGAGATACTCTGTCAGAGATTTGTCTCCCCTCTTCTTGATGTGCAGTCCATCAAAAATCTCTCTTCCCAAAAAACAGGTTAAAGTTGTCAAGAAAGGTCAGTCCATTTGTTCTGCTTTCTCTTAGCCATACTTGAAATGGGAAAGATTTCTTTACTATATCAATGGCCCTAGAAGATAAACCTATGGCTTAGCTCCTCTTTATGTACGTACACACATATACCCACCACATGTTTGCCTATTTGACCCCACAGCCCTTTTTATCTTTTTCTTTTTTTATTTAAAAAAAAAAAAACACCTGTATTTTGATCTTCCTCTTGTTATGTTTGGTCTCTCACTTTTGAGTTAGTTGTTAGTAGTGTGTACATTGTCTCCTTTTTCCTGTTTTATGTATATGTACAGTTTTATGTTCTAAAATACAATAAAATGTCAATCGCAAAAAAAACAAAGAACAAAAAAAATAATAATAAAATAAAATTTTGCTTTTTCTTGTGTGAATTTTCCCTAATTTTCACTCCTACTATTCTTGTTTTTTTTGAGTATGGATCTGCCTCTTATTCTGCCTACCTGTGTTTTCATCTCTTGCTTTGACGATGAGAATTGGACAGTCCATAATAAAGCTACCTCACATTTGTAACTTGCCTCTGCCCCTACGTTACAAGGAGAAATGATGAGTATTTAATTAAAATCATATAATGCAGACCAATTAAATTAAAATTAAATAGAATTTTAATTAAATGCAAAGTTAAAGAAATACGTTTTCAATGGTTTTACTAAAAGTGAGCACTGAGCTTGTCTGTCTAATATAAGATGAAATTGAGCTTCACAGTTTAGAAGCAGTTTTCTGTAATTTATGGAAGGTGTTTGCAGAAGGTCAGTATCTGCAGATCTAAGATCACGTGCTGGAACATAAACAGACAGACACTTTGTGAGCTAAGCCATAAAGTAAGGTTAAGAGGTAAGGTAAGGTTATTATGAGCTTTAAAAACTAGTAGTACAACTTTAAAATCTATCCTGAATGATACAGCAAGCCAGTGCAGCTCTTTTAAAATGGGAGTGACCTGATCTCTCTGTTTGGTTTTTGTTAGGATGCTGCTGCATTTTGTAAGGGATGTACAGTTTTCTTAGGAAGTCCAGTAAGAAGATCATTACAGTGATCAACACTGCTTGTAACAAATACATGAACAGGTTTCTCTGAAAGAGAAAAGGCCTTTAGCGATATTTCTCAAATGATAAAAAGCTACTTTAGTGACATCCAGGTTTCCTACTTCAGGTTTGGTGTATGAAGTTAAAGAGGCAAGCCTCTCATAAAATAGCTTTCTCTGAGTTTTAGTATCAAGTACCATTCTTTCAGTTTTTTCATGATTTAGTTGTAGAAAGTTTTGTGACATCCATTGAGAAATATGTGACACAGCTGGTCAGCCTGTCAAGAGAGTCTTGATGATCAGATGAGTTTATGCATCAGCACTAAGCCTTGCAGCTGTCTCAGGACTATGGCTAGAAGAAAAACCTGACTGAAACTTCTTGTATAACCTATTTGATATTTGATACACATTTACTTGCGTAAGGGTCCAGCCTGCACCGCCTGCTGCCAGCAGAGGGCGACGGCAGCAAGGTGCCTGGCCTGCGCCGCCAGCCACCAGCAGAGGGCGACGGCAGCAAGGGGCCATAACTTCAAGGAACTACAATTCCCAGAAGCCCTCGGGCTGATTAGGTCCAACTCGACACACCTGCGGACTCCTCTACTTAAGGCTGTGGCAAACGGCAGTGCTTTGTCACACCTTTGTAGAGGGGTGACCGGTATGGTACACAGTCCAGGTGGGTATTTGAACAAAAAGAAAAGAAAAGAGGGCTGAAAAAAGAAATCGCCCTAAAACTACAGAAAGAAGAAAAAGAGGGCTAAAAAGAATTAACTGCCCCAAAACTACTGAAAATAAAAAGGAGGTTTGAGCTACAAACGGCTCCAAGCAATAGAAAAGGTGTTTGCTCCACCAAGAGCAAACAACTGAAACATAAAGTCTACCTACCCTTCATTCTGACAGTGGAAGTGTATTTTGTTTTCTCATTCTTTTATTTCACTAGTTCAGCCTTTGTTTGACCACACTGCTTTCAGTACATCGGCGGTTCGAACCTGGCTCTGGGTCACCTCAACTACAACGTCCCAAACTCGCACTCCATTGTCCCAATAAATTTATTTAACACTCTTTCTCACTGGTTTTCATCTCTGCACTTGGATCCGCCTCCCCGCCGTCCCGTAGCAACTTGTTTGAGAGCAACAATTCTATGACTTTACTCCAAAGCATAGGTTTGAAATTGGTCTAGAATTATTCAGTACAGAAGGATCCATGCTACTCTTTTTCAGTAGGGCTTCACCAGACAGTTTTAAAGGCACCTGGTAAAGCACCTGTTGACAGAACAGTTTACAATAGTTAAACCATCATTTTGAATGCAATCGAATACCATCTGAAGGAGTGACGTAGGAACAGGTCAAGATCACATATGGACAAACTTAATTTGTTTATAACTCCTGATGTTTTGAAAATGACTTGCAAACTTTTCACAATATTTTGGAGGATGAATCACCATGAGATGCACTTGCAGAGAAGTTGGGGTTAATTAGATGGCCTGTGATGGAAACAAAGACTTTGATATTATCTTTGTGTTTATTAATTACACTATAGTGGAATGACTGTCTGATGTTGTTCCAGATGTTGTTCAAGAAACTTAGAGGCCCTTTTAGATGTTTTTTTGGCAAACTCTAATCTGGTCTTCCTGGTTTTGGTTTACATCTTGAGGTAAACCCTCTGTATGTATTCTGGTGAAGTCCTGTCTTCACTGCTAACTTTGACACATAGAAGTCTAGCTCCTGGAAGGTGTTCTTGATCTGGCCAACTGTTGTGAAAAGGTTTTTCTTCACCAGAGAAATAACTGTCCTGTCGCCCACCACAGCTATTCTCTGCAGTCTGCCTTTTGGTGTTTCTGAGCTGACCAGTGGATTCTGTATTTTTAAGAATGCGCCAAATTGTTGATTTGACCACACCAAATGTTTTTGCTCTCTCTCTGATGGCTTTGATGATTGCTTGCTTCATGAAGCTCTTTGGACTATAAAAACTTTACAAGCAGTGAAGCGGTTCGCACTTCATATTGCGAGTTCACAGCAGCAGATTCCAAGTACAAGTGCCTCTCATAAAATCAACTCTAGAACTCATATCTTCTTACCTGTAAGTGAACTAATGACGGAATAACACACACACCTGGCCATGGAGCAGCTGAGCAGCCAAAAATATTGTCTGATTTATTTTTTAGCCCCTAAATAAGGGGGAGTATGTATGAAAATGCTTTTCTACACTGTTTATCCGATTTGGACGTAAATAACCTAAAATCAAATTTTACCTTCAAAATAAATATCTGCACTTTGAGCCCATATTTGTTATTTCATTTAATTTCCATTATAATCTGGTAAACAGCCAAAATAAAAATAGCTTGGTCGACATCCAAATACTGATGGACCTAACTGTATGTTGAAGTTTAAGTCCCTCCCCAAACCAAATGCACTCCACCATGTTGCCCTTGTGACTGTCCTTCTAAGGCATTTTTGCCTTCATCATAGACATTAAATCAACATGAATGAATAATGTGGAGACGTGAGAAGAGATATAATTTTATTTTCATTCTTCTCGATATACAGACAGACTTTTAAGATTGAAAATATAACACAAATAAGTCATGAAATCATTACTTAAACTACTGTAGGTTTCATTTAAAAACAAATGTGATGTAAATAAAGAGCATTTTTCACCAGAAGAAGTACAAAAAGGTCAGGATTATAATTAAATAAACAAAAGAGCACAATCAGTGAAACATTTATTAATCAATTATTATAGACCCATAGCATTCTTTTGTGTGGGTTGTTTTTTTTTTTTATTTTTGTTTTTAAATTGATTCTACATTACTCTACAATAATATGTTTATAATGAAAATCTTGATTTAATATGTGCTACAATGATACAGACTCAAATCATCTTAATAGAGAATACACAAAGTGACATACTGAGCTACAGAAATACCTCTGCCAGTTTTTTCAGACTTTGTTGAGCAAATATCTGATTTATATTAAAACACCAGACAAAACTGCACATGATGAGTTTTACAAATATCAAAAGTAGTCATCCATTTGATTAAATTCTATAATGTCTTACTCACTTTCTCTGTCACTGAGTATTTCTCTTCCATTAAAGATTTTAGCCAACATCTACAGATGATGTGTTACGGCGATTTTTAGCTTCCATGAAAAGACAAACAAACCTGGGAGAATCGAATCACTTCAGCACATTGCATAAACGCTTCAGCCTGTGTAGCAGTGCTACTATAAGTTTGACGCATTGCATATACAGCACGTATTGCTGCAATTGCAAGCTGGAAAAACTCCTTCAATCTCTCCCAGAAAACTTCCCATGTGGAGTGATCTGACTGTCTATACAGCCCACTGGTGTAGTGACTTCCTCCGTTCTGTGTCACCATTCTGTCTATCATCTCCAGTAACTCAGTGACCTGCCCTCTGTTTCTCTGTTTATTATTAAATACGTGATACCGGCCCCCACACTGCTGGATGAATTTGGACAAGTATTTGTTACTACGAATCTCATCATGTAAGTTCTCTGGCCTGTTATCGCCGTGGGTAAAGAGAACGATTGTGTAATTTGACACTTCACTTCCAAAAACCTTGATTAACTGCTGAGCTGCATTAAATTCCTGTTCTGTAAATTTCTGATTAACTTGCACCACATAAAGGAAAGCGTGAGGCCCTGGTCTGGATAAATGGACACTTCTGCCAAGCTGCTCAGCCAAGGCTTCTTCTGACAAAGTCGTGTCATAAAAGCCTGGTGTGTCGACCACAGACACTGTCCTTCCTCCAATCTGTGTTTCCTCAATACAGCTGTGTCGTGTTACAGAGTTTAAACTGGTCTTGGACATGAACACATCTTTTCCCAGAGTAGTGTTTCCAGAGGCACTCTTTCCAGTTCCTGTCTTCCCCAACAGCACTATTCTTACTGATATATAGATTGAGAGAGAGAGAGAGAGAGAGAGAGAGATATTAACTCACCACATTTCACCACTATCCATTGGATTTTCCATTTTATTTTTATTACCTGGTATAATTATGAATTTTCACCATATAATCTATAACTGCTCCAAAAGTTCAGTAAACTATGTTTAGGATGGTTTGATCAATGCCACATCACTTTGTTATCAACTTACAATTACAGTTACAATTAAGTGTGGCAGAAGTTGTGAGTCAGAATCGACTCAAGAAAAACGGGAGACAGCTTTCAGGGTAGGGGATAAAGGGCATTTACAATGTACATAATCATAGTTTTCACTCTTAATGAATGTTGGTCTCTTGTGCATAACAATACAGAAAAGTATGTAGTTATTATTGCTTATTGTTATTATTTATTACAATTTATTGCTGAACATAGATTTTTTTTGTTTACAATTGTGACTTTAGGGGTATTTTAAGCACAGAGTAACTGCAGTGGAACTTGCATCATGCTGAGAACAGTCCATCATCCAAATAATACCTGCTGTCTGGTGGTCCTATGGTGGTCCTGACCACTGAAGAACAGAGTGACAATATATGCAGAGAAACAGATGGACTACAGTCTGTAATTGTAGAACTATAAACGATGAAGTGCACCTACGTGGAATGCTGACCTAATAAAGGGGCCAGTGAGTGAACATATAAGGTGGTTACTGGAATCGAACCAGTCCAGTTCCAGTCTCATTAAAAGATGAGCATGTGCTTGACCAGTTGGGACGGACTTGGCTCCTACAATCAGCCTGATTGACTCGGGATGGATCCAGGCAGTCATTAAAAATGGACTTTGGCTGATCATGTTTTGAATTGGCCTGGATATGGGCTGAGTATTATTTGCTACCTGTGGTGTTGCTAAGAACTTGCTGTGGTACTTTTGGTAGTTGCTTGGGTGTTGCTAAATGGTTGCTGTGCTATTCCAGGCAGTTGCTAGGTGGTTACCATGGTATCTCAAGTGGTTGTTAGGGTGTTGCTAACTGGTTGCTGTGTATCCTATGTGATTGCTTGGGTGTTGCTAGCTGGTTGCTAAGGTATCCCAGGTGGTTTCTATGGGGTTGCTAACCGATTGCTATTATATCTGTGGTGGTTTCTAGGGTATTGCTAGGTGGTTGCTGGAGTGTTCCACTAGTGGTTGCTATAGTGTTGCTATAAATGGCTGCAGTGTAAACCCATGTGGTTAGTATGGTAAGCAGTTGCTGTGGTATTCGAGGTAGCTGCTAGGATGTTACAATTTGGCTGCTATGGAATTCCAGGTGGGTCCAGGGGTGTTGCTATGTGGTTGTTATGGTTTCAGTAATGGGTCTGCAATAATGTTACCGTGAGTGATTTAATATCATGGTATCCTGAATTACTGAATACTGGCATGTCTACACAGGTGATTGCTAGAGTGCTGCCAGATACAGTTACTGTGGTCTTTTAGGTGGTTGCTAGGATGTTGCAAGGCAGTTTCTATTTAATCCTAGGTTGCTTGGATGCTGCTAGGTGGTTGCTATGGTATCTTAGGTAGTTGCATGGAGACAGTAAGTCTAATCTAATATGTAAAGATAACATGGCACCTTTTCTGTACATCCTGTTCAGTTTGAATTAGTTTAATGTGTTGTGTGTTTTTCTATACTCACGGTTTCTGGGTTCCATGATGGGGTGGCTTCTTCTCATATTGTTTGGTGTGACTCTCACCTTTCACTGGCCATGTAAAAGGAAATATGTAATAGTCATAGGTAGTAGGTTTTAAGCTACTGTAATGGTTGCAGATAAAGGAAAAGCTTCCAATAAGCCAAACTAAATCCAAATAAAAAGTCTAAGCATTATTCCTTAATGAAGATGTTGATGTCCATCAAGCGTGCACTGAGTGCACTGAAGAGCAAAGCAGTTACAACACTAGCATTAATGTTAGTGATCATATTACTGATATTACTGTAAATAAACATTGTCATGTAATTTACTTTGCAAAGGAGAACAGTATAATATTTGATTTTGGCTTTCTGATGGCTGTTCTTGCATTAATCTGTGAGCACACAGAATATGATTTGATTCTATCAGTCATTAAAATGGCAATGTGGTCACAGTGATGACATGAAACAGATGAATAAGAGCAATAAAATTTATAGAACATGTTTTGTAAAACTATTTTAAGGTCTGCTTATTAAAAATTAATTATTATAATGCAATTAACAGTGCACTAATAAACAGAACCATAATAAATAGATCCTCTGAAAGCAAACTTAGAAATGTATTAGGGGTCCAAGCACCTTTAGGTTTTGCTCGGGTCTTTCTTCTCCTTTTTCTGCCCTAAAAACAACTGGGGAGAAGATACAATAAGTCATTCAAACACCAAACTGGGAGTGTAGGTTTACAATCCCCCCATTACTTAAGCAAGTGTAATGAACCTGTTTGGCCTAATGGTGGTGCGATAGAGCAACATTTTACATTTTGGCCCATATCTTCTGAATCGTGAGGCCTACATTCAAAATTATTGCTTTTACTTAATCCTTGGTTCAGTCCACATCACTGTTTCTATTTGACTCCACCCTCATATTTTCCATCATAATTTGCAAAATATGTTTCACCTACATTTTTTCTACTAGGTTTTTGTCTACACAATATTGGTCTCAAATTGTTCAGGGAAGTCTGCACGTCAAGAATTATTTAAAACATTTTTTAAAATGAAAATATTTATAAACAATATGGTTGCCATGTGCCAATTAGACCCTTTGGGATTTAACTTAATTCACAAAGATTGCTACTGAATGCTTTGGCCTATTCTCTTGGAAATATTCTACATGATTTTGAGGAAGTCCACAGAGGTTGACACCAATTATTCAATAAAGGGTGCTATAACATCCAAAAAAATTATTCTCAGTAACCACTTGGTCGACTGAGCTGAAAGGGGTGCGACAGCAAAGTGAAAAAATTGTCTGTGCCTCCTAAACTTAGAGGGTTACGAACATAATTCTTGGTGCTGCTCAAACTCAAACTTAAAACAGTCCTCCTGGAAAAAAATGAGATTCTGTTAATTAAAAAAAAAAACTTTGTGCACTTGTCCTACTTTTTCACTTTATCTTCATGAACCTGATATCAAATTATCTGTAAGATCCTATCCCTAAATACATATCTAAAAAATATTGACATTTACACACAGTATGGCTGCCACATGCCAATAAATCCTCCTAGATTCATCTTATTTCACATAAGTGGCTACAGATCAGACTTCTTTTGTCCAATTCTTGTAAAATTTAACAGGCCACTAAATACTAATAGTTCAATAGGGGGCACTATAGCAGCAAAAATTCTGTTTCTCAGCAACTGTTTGGCTAATTGAGCTAAAACTTTGCATGCTGCAACATTGGGCCACTTTATAAGCAAGGTCTTAAGGATAAGTAATTTATTAGACAAATATTGCTACCGTCAATATTGCTAACTTCAAACATACATACAGTTGTATGCTTTACAGTATTTATCTTGTGACACAGAAAATCTCTTAATTTTATGTATTTCACTGGGCCTGGCAATTTTGCAAATACAAGACTTTAAAAGGTACTGTTGTTCCACAATTGTTAAAAATTTGAAAGGTGACATTTTCTCAGTACTCCATGAGTTTTTAGCAAAAATTGGTCTTAGAACAATTGGTGGAGTCAGAAAAATCAAAAACAGAACTTTTAACCGTGGTGTGGCAGCAATATTTGAACAAATTGATGTTTAGGGGGAAATGACTTTTTCACATTGGTGTTTTAAATAAATGTTTATCTTCAGTAAATGGAATCATCATCATCTAAATGCTGCATGTTATGTTTACTCATCTTGTCTTTATCTTATATTAAAATGAGTTGAATGATCTTAAACAATTCAATGTAATAAATTAGCAAAAAGAAGAAATCAGCTGAACAAAAAATTTTTACAGCACTGTTCATGTTGCCACTGAAATGTGATGATTTACTAGTGCGTTTGGTCATTGTGAATTCAGATAATTATTCATATCCCTTGCTTAAGATATCAGATAAAAAGAACAAGCTTGTAACTGAGAAACAAGCAGTCAAGTGGTGTGGTGTTTGTGTGCATGAATCTTCTTGACATGTCTAGAAAATTTAGGAATTCAGGAGCTGCTGTCTTCATCTCTAAGATCAAGGCAGTGACATAAAACAGTAAGAGATAAAAAGATAATCAATTGCTTGTCATAGCATAGTGTAGTGTCCGTATGATGGACAGAAATGCTGCTTTGTGTAGCTCTTCCTCTCCAGTGTTTACATATTTTTTTACATCACTCCCAGAGTTCTTTTCTAAAACATTTCTCCAATCTGTTTGATTGGTCTTAACCTAGTTCACCTGTCTAATAGAGAAAATGTGGATGTAGATGTGGATTTTAGTTGTGTGACAACTTCAATTGTGAATAATAATCAGTATTCCTACAAACACACAAAAACACACACATTTAATTTTACATTGCCAGTGCTCTTTGATTTAGTCTTATGTCAAAAAGTGTGAACATTGACTCTTTCCTACCTCTGTAGCAGAGCTGTGCACTTGCGTGTTTCAGGTTGAAAGTGGGGGTGATATGTTGTGCGTATCTGTGTGCACTGTCCTTTATACGGGGACAGGGTGGGGCTCTGTTTTCAGTTCTTTTAGTTTCAGTTTTGCATGTAGTCAATCATTAGGAGGAGACATCAGTACGTTTGATTAACATGATATTAAAGATGCTATATAGATTGCATCACATTACACCATGCAAGCTATGTTATGGGTCCATAATATCACACTTAAAGCAGTATTATATAACAATTTTACCTTAAAATAATTTCATGTCACACACTGTGATCTCAGCCAGCTCTGCTCTGTATTTCCAGCATGGACATAAAAGCAGAGGCTTCAAAGAGGCCGAAGATGATGTTTGAGGTAGAGAGAGGAAGAGAAGAAGAGAACGACCGAGCAAAAGACTGGACAAGAGTAAATCTTGGACTGGCCTTTAGCAAGAGGTAAAAGAGAAGCAAGCAGTCTCACAGCTAATGGGAAATCAAAGAAAACTCGACAGCAGAGTGATCATCCCTGTGTTAATTATGAAAGGTTGTGATGCAGGCCATAAACTTACACTATATTTCCAAAAGTATTCGCTCGTCTGCCTTCACACGCATATGAACTTAAGTAACATCCCATTCTTAATCCATAGGGTTTAATATGATGTCGGCCCCCCCTTTGCAGCTATAACAGCTTCAACCCTTCTAGGAAGTTTTAGGAGTGTGTTTATGGGCATTTTTGACCGTTCTTCCAGAATCGCATTTGTGAGGTCAGACACTGATGTTGGACGAGAAGGCCTGGCTCTCAGTCTCCGCTCATCCCAAAGGTGTTCTATTGGGTTGAGGTCAGGACTCTGTGCAGGCCAGTTAAGTTCTTCCACACCAAACTCGCTCATTCATGTCTTTATGGACCTTGCTTTGTGCACTGGTGCGCAGTCATGTTGGAACAGGAAGGCGCCGTCCCCAAACTGTTCCCACAAAGTTGGGAGCATGAAATTGTGAAAAATCTCTTGGTCTGCTGAAGCATTAAGAGCTCCTTTCACTGGAACTAAGGGGCCGAGCCCAACTCCTGAACAACAACCCCACACCATAATCCCCCCTCCACCAAACTTTACACTCGGCACAATGCAGTCAGATAAGTACCGTTCTCCTAGCAACCACCAAACCCAGACTCGTCCATCGGATTGCCAGATGGAGAAGCGTGATTGGTCGCTTTACGCCACTGCATTCGACGCTTTGCATTGCGCTTGGTGATGTAAGGCTTGGATGCAGCTGCTCGGCCATGGAAACCCATTCCATGAAGCTCTCTACGCTGTTCTTGAGCTAATCTGAAGGCCACATGAAGTTTGGAGGTCTGTAGCGATTGACTCTGCAGAAAGTTGGCGACCTCTGCGCACCATGAGCCTCAGCATCCGCTGACCCCGCTCTGTCATTTTACGTGGCCGACCACTTTGTGGCTGAGTTGCTGTCGTTCCCAATCGCTTCCACTTTGTTATAATCCCACTGACAGTTGACTGTGGAATATTTAGTAGTGAGGAAATTTCACGACTGGACTTGTTGCACAGGTGGTATCCTATCATGGTACCACGCTGGAGTTCACTGAGCTCCTGAGAGCGACACATTCTTTCACTAATGTTTGTAGAAGCAGTCTGCAGGCCTAGGTGCTTGGTTTTATACACTATCTGTGTAATTCCAGTCCCACAGAGTTTTGTAGTTTTTCTGGATACCAAAATCATCTGACCTCAGTCCTGTTTCAGGCTGGCATGCAAAGAAATAAATTCATTTCAGCCAATACATTTGGTCAGTCTTTGGCCAGTCTCACACTAAATAGGCCTTGAAAGTTTGCAACCTCCTATAATAAAGTCCTGTAATATAACTCTACCTTATAAATCGATAAGATTCCCTCTCTCCTGATGTTGTCACTGTTCTGCCGAATTCCATTTCTTTGGCAGAATCCAACTCCCCTTCACATGCACGCACATCATTCAGGCATATGGACGCTACAGATTACACTTGCAATTTTGATTGTTTCTGTGTGTAAATGACTGAAATGTGAAGACTGGTCAGATTCTCTCCCCTTCAACAAATACACAAGCTGTCCATGAGGGGGGCTCAAAGCATGATTTGTATTCATGAGAGTGGTATAAAAGTGAACCACAAGAAACGCTCACCAACACCTTAATCTGGTGCATCCTGTACCGTATACGTGCACCGTCCCATACATTTCATATGTGAAGTGAGCAAAGCCACATATTCACAAGTGACCACATTTTTACACATGAACACGTTTTTACGTGTGATCACATTTTCTACACATAATTACACATTTTATCATGTGAAGTGCTAAACTTGTGTGTTTATTCATATGTGAAATTCATATTTTTTCTGTAAGGGTTGCCAAATGCTTTTTTTATTTCATAATTATGAAAGAGAGACAGGGCTGCTGCCATTTTTTGTCAGACCCTCTCCGTTTTCCCACTGTTTTCCAAATGGATATTAAAGCAGCATTTTATGAGAATTGGTACTTTTGCTCTTGGGCTTCTCCTACAGTTGCAATATGTATTTGGGATGAAACCTTCTGGCATGAATAGATGAGGTTGTCTAATTTTAATGGATAGTTTGATTTGTCCATCCAGAGTAAGAGCGTCCTCCTTGCAAGCCATCTCACATTTTAGCGCTTCACTAAGGCCATGGTGGTGACACAGCAGACTCAGAAAGTTGTGAGGGATCCATGTGCAGATTTATTAACAATGGAGCAGTCCAAAACTCGTAGTAAAAGGCAATGTAAAAAGGTCGTAACAGAGAATCCGTCCAAAAGGCCATGCAGACAGAGCAAAAGGGACAAAAAGCAACAGCAGATTCCAAATAGTCAAGCAAAAATTCAAACGCCAGACAAACAAACGCTCGGTAGTCAAATTCAAAAGACCTGGCAACACTTGGCACTGCCTGGCTGAGTTGGAGGAGTATTTAAGGTGTGACTGATAATGAGGGAGATAATGAAGTACTGGTGCCTTGGTCCTGGGAACAGGGCTAATACTCAAGAGAGAGGGCCTGGTGGCCAGATAGTGAATTACAGACAGAAGTCCTAAAGCCTGTCATTTTCTAGACATGTAAAGAAGATTCATACACAAAAATTCATACACCACACCACTTGACTGCTACACACCAACCAGTCTGTTCAGTTTAAGTTTAAAGTGTGAGGTGTGTTTATATTACTGGCAGCAGTGTTATTAATAATAACAGTGGTGGACAGTAGCTAAGGAAATGTAATTGGTTACTGTACTTAAGTAGTTTTTTTGTGTATCTGTACTTTACTGAAGTTTTTTACTGAAAGTTTTGGGAGAGTCTATTCAACATAAATGATGAACTAACCTAACTTTGTGTAAATAGACCACAATATAGAAATATGTACACATATGCAGTTGTGACTGTGTCTTTTTTCTGAATTTATACAAACACATTTCATTTATAGTAAATTAGTTTTGTCTAGTTTGTTTATGAACAGAGACCTACAGATGCAGTTTAGTAAAGGAAACTCATTTGTGAATCTGAGTTTAAAGCAAGTTTTTATTAAACTTAAACTTGTAACTAAGTTGCAAATAAATCTTAAACTGAAACTTTGCTTGTTTGTAAAGTGATTTCAAAGCCACTCAGTTCTACCTGATGGAAACTGTTTGCCTTCAGTGTTTTGTGCTTATGATAATTTTAATAGACATCAGCGTCACTAATTAATGACATTCTATTAAAAGACACTGGAGTTTTTTCACCCAAAAGAGTTGATAAAGCAAGAGTTTTGTTACAAAAATGATAATAGGACATCAGAGTCATAAATAATCTTTTAGTACTTTCACTTTCGATACTTTAGTACATTTGAAGGCAAATACTTTTGTACTTGTACTCAAGTGGAGGTCTAAAGGGAGGAACTTTTACTTTTACTGGAGTAATATTTTACCTTGGGTTTCCTTAACTCAAGTACATGGTTTGTGTACTTTGTCCACCACTGATTAATAATTCTAATAATATTTCCTTATTTATTTATTCCATTGTAGTAATATATGTAACAGTGTTACAGCTCTGACGAAAAAGCTGTTAGCATGTCTGGTTGAGCTGGTTTTGATGGTCCTGAATCTTCTGCCAGGGGGAAGTGGCTGAAAGAGGTGACGTCCAGGATGAGATGGGTCAGCTGTAATTTTGCTGATACACTTCATCAGCCTGTTGTTGTAGATGTCCTGAATCATCGGCAGATACATCCAACAATCTTCTCCACTGTCCTGATTATGTGGTGAGTTTGGTTTGTTCTTGTGAGGTAAAGGAGCCAAACCAGATGGTTATGGATGATGTGAGGATGGACGTAATGATCACTGTGTAGACCTGGGTCATCAGGCTCTGCAGCAGGTTAAATTTCTTTAGCTGTCTTATAAGCAACATTCTCAGCTGAGCTCTCTTGGTGATGGAGGCCATGTTCCTCTCCCCCTTCAGATTTCTGAATATGGTAATGCCCAGGAATTTTAGTGACTCTACAGTGGAAACCACAGAGCTGTTAATGTTGAGGCGAGAGGTGGGGGGGGGTTGCCCCTGAAGCACATCACCATCTCTATGGTCATTTGCTTGTTGAGCAGCAGGTGGTTGATGCTGCACCAGCAGACCTGCTTGTCCACTTCCCCTGTAGGCAGACTGATTGCCTTTGGCTATGAATCCCACCACAGTGGTGTCATCTGCAAACTTCAGGATCTTCACAGCCGGTTCCTTAGAGACACAGTCATTGGTATAGAGACTGAAGTGAAGAGGTAAGAGCATATAACCTTCTGGTACACCAGTACCGAGGGTCCGAGGGTCTGATGTGTGTATTCCTAGCTGCACCTGCTGTGTCCTATTTGTCAGGAAATCACTGATCCACTGGCAGATATGATCTGGCACAGCTGGGACAGTTTGACATGCAGCAGCTCTGGTACTATGGTGTTGAAAGCCGAAGTCCACAAACAGAACTCTAACGTACATTCCAGAACTGTCGAGATGCTGTACGATGAAGTGCAGGGCCAAGTTGACCGCATCATCGACAGACCTGTTAGCTCCGCACGCAAACTGCAGGAGACCCTGCAGAGGGCTTATTATGGACTTCAGGGGGGCTAGGACCAGGCGTTCAAAGACCTTCATGACTGCAGAGGTCAGGGCTAATGGCCTGTAGTCATTTAGTCCAGCAATCTTCATTGTCTTGGGGACTGGAATGATGGTTGATATTTTGAAGCACATGGGAACAGAGCGAAGCTCCAGTGATTTGTTGAAGATATTGGCGAAAATCAGTGATAGTTGGTCAGAGCAGTGCTTTAGTGTGGATGGAGAGACTCCATCTGACCCCCGAACTTTTCTTACCTTCTGTTTGCTCAAAAGCATGTTAATTTCCTGCTCATTAATAGTAAGATGAGTGGGGGGCAGAAGTGAAAGAGCCAGGGTTGGCGTGTCAGTACAAAAACAACACTGGGACATTTTCTTCGTGAAAATGTTGCTACAAAATGTGTTGATTTGTCTTAATCATGGTTTTACAGGAAGTGACGAGGGGTGATAAAAAGCAAACAGCTAACCTGTTGGGTAAGTACCGGCCCCAACAGAGACAAGAACAGCAATGGATGCATAGGAGGCATAGACACAGAGTCAAGATTCACATCATGCAGCGCGCATTATGTGAATCTTGACTCTGTGTGGCTATGCCTCCTATGCGTCCATTGTTGCTCCAGAAGTGCTGGACCAAAGACGACTGAGGGTGTGAGGCACAGGGTGATCCAGGTGTCTGTGAAATGAATCTTCTTTAAGAAGAGGGTCCAACACATCTCTGGCAGATACCCAAAATCTCTTCACTGGACCATAACCCTCACAAGCCACCAGATACTGGAGCTGACCCCTTCTCCAGGAGTGCTCTTATGGCAAATTCAGGCGCTCCATCTACCACGAGTGCTGGAGTTGGTGTGTCCAGGGTCTTGCAAAGGGTCAGGCACCACAGGCCAGAGGAGAAAGACTTGAAATGAAGGTGAGACATATAATTAAGGGGTTTATTAGAGTCTATACATCACCCTGTTGATAACCGAGGTAGATGTGAAAGGATGTGAAACAGGTAAAGGAGTGCACCAAGGAGTTCTGAGTATGTTCAGCCCAGGGAAGATACGAACATCAACCCCCCTGCCGATACCAGCAATAACAGCTGAAATACTGCCCAAGTTTTTGTTTCAGGCTCTCCATCTGACTGTTGTACTCTGGGTGATGCACAGAGGTGAGGCTGATGTTGATTCTCAAGCACAAATAGATGTGACCAGGGCCTTTGTGGTAAAGTGTAAACGTTCCAAAGTTCCAGCAGGTAACCGAAGTGGAGTTTGGGCTTGCGCACATACTAAACAAGGAGTGACATATTTTTGTTTTCTGAGTCTATAAAATACTGTCTTCTACACTTTGGTTCCATTATGAATAATACTAATCACAAACTTCAGAGCTGCAGAGAAATATCTTGTTTATAATGATAAAGGGCATTTATGAACCCCATTACAGCACAATAGACATATAAAATCCGGTACTAAACCATTTGTGTCAGAGCAATGGATAAGACAGATCATTAAAACACTTGATGTCTTTCATTTAGAGTGGATGTTAAAAATCTGGTAATGACCTTCAATATAAAAGAAGGTTACAATTTAATAATTAATACAATTTAATAAACGGTGTGAGAAAGTCTATTTCATGTATTAAACCATTGCCCAGAAAAAGTGGGAACTGCATGAGTAGTGGTTGGATTTTCTCGTGAACCGTTCCTGAGCCTAAGGGTCATCCATCTATGGCACTGACCGGAAACAATGGCTGGCATCTCTGTACTGGGATCTCTAGGGTTCACCAAACTCTGATCAATTACCAGCAGCTCTAAAACTGGTTATTCCTGTAACAGATATGAAATTATCCCTCCAATACAAAACAATCTTTACTTGAAATGAAGCTTTAGAGGTGTTAGGTAAAGTCTCACTCACCATGTTATTGCATCTTTGGCAGTTGTCTGGTCTGAGTTTACAGTTAGTACACAGATGGTCTTCACTCCCGCAATAAAACAGAGGCCAGACTGCAACTTACATCGCTTTTCTTCAGTGGATAGCTGTGTGCTACCTGCTTACATGGTCTCTGGGACTTCAACAGATGCTGAGGAGGTAGCCCTGGGTTTACCATGTGAGTGACATTAAGAAGATTGCCCAACTGGATGGCTAAGGAGATAAGCTGGCCACTATTCTTTGTATTTATAAACAGGTGGGCCTTGGGGTAGAAAAGGTTGAGAACCCCTGCTTTAGACCAATCAGGTCAATTCTGTGCCATTTTTCCTTATCATAGTACATTTACCTGTTGGAAATGAAAGAGTTAACGTTGGTCTCTGATTCAGAAGTGTATCGTAAATAGTACCGTGATGTCCTCTTATAAATTTGTGTGGTTTTATGTACCAAAAATGATAAGTGATTCATTTTGACACAACCATTTTCCAACTTCTTCACCCCTTAGAATCAAACTGCCTGTGTGTTTGTACCTTCAAGACTGCTGTATGTAAATAAGCTTGTTCTGATCTGCTTTCCTGTACTGTGCCTCATTTAAAATCGCAGTCCAGCCTGAAACATTCCTTCTAACTTCTGTGTGAATGGGCGGGGCTAAACTGCAATTGTCTGATATGTAAATGTGCTAGTTTGCACGACATCCCAAACAGGCTGTTTCATCATTGTAGTTTGCATGGATGCACTGGGGAGTGAACAGAACTTTAACAATGTTTACATAAAACTTCTCTTTAATAAAGGTGAGATAATTCTGATTTTCTGTGATATGCGCCCTTTCAAGCATAATACAGCTGTTTCTATCATTTCTAAAACAGTGATTTCACTGACTGTGTTCCTGGTTACTGCCAACGATTGGCATGTTCATCTACTACTCATGTATGTGCTGTAGTGTTTTAGTAGTTCACCTTTCTTTGGCAGTACTAAATGTACTTAATGGGCACAAACCTGAAAGAGTAAAAGACGAATGAAGAATGGAAAAAACAATTTGTGTGTACTTTATTTTCACTTTATTTTAATGTGTCAACAGAAAATGATTATTGGTAATACTGTCATATTAAAATCCATCCAACTTTTTTACATTAATAAGTAACGCATTAAATTATTTAACAATTTGTTATTGCTTCATGTCTGAAAGTGTATGTGTGTGTGTGTGTGTGTATATATATATATGTGTGTGTATGTGTGTGTATATATATATATATATATATATATATATATATATATATATATATATATATATATATATATATATATATATATATATATATATATATATATATACAAGAGGGAAATAACTGAAAAAAGACAAACTAGACAAAAACTAGAAAAAAGCACTGAAATAAGCTCTCATGGTGGCTGTGTTTGAAACAACACACTGTTTACTGTACTGGTACTGTGCTTACTCCTCATATCATTATGCTGTACAGAATCCAGTATGCTATAAGTACCATCATGTGGTATATACCCTCCTAAAGAGTATGGGCATGACTAAACTCTACCAAAACAGTGACATACAGTCAGGGCTCCCCCCAGACCTGTATACTTCCCTATGATCACACCAGCAACAAAACCACATGAGATCTGCAGTATTTTCACTGTACTTTGATGCCAGTTCTTATGTTTCCAGGCTTTTGCTAAAAGAGCACCAACTACTGCTGCTGAAAACCCTGTTAGGAATCCACGACTAAAAGTTATAACATCTACAGAGCTTTTGTTCTGTACATTAATGCCTCCCATGAATATACTTACTGCACTGATTAGATAGATACACTTCTTTTGTGACTGAATCCCCAGTGTAGTTCTTTTTAACCATGCCATGACTGAGTCAGCATGGTGGAACATCTCCAGCGTATAGCAGCTGTTCCCATTAGCAGCCACCATGGAGTCTGTTTGCTGGATCTTTATTGTTCAGTACATGGTATCGTCCACCACATTCATCTACTAGATTTGATAGTCTTCTGTTTTTTTCTAATCTGTTCCTCAATCGGAGAATCACGTTGCTTGTCTCCATGTGTGAACACGATAACCGTGTATCTCAGAGCTTCCTCACCGAATGTCTGCTTAAACAGTGACACAATGTCTGCTTCTTGCTCAGTGAAAGTGTCCAGTGTGAGAATGAAAAGGAGGGCATGCAGCCCTGGAGAAGACCATTTCACTCCTTTCTCAATTTCCACTCTCAGATCTTTCCTCGATAGCTTCAAATTATAGAAATTAGGGCTGTCAACCACACTAACTGTCCTGTTAGCGACAGTGCTACTTTGTTTGATGCATGTGTTTGTCAATGAAGACATGCTGGGACCAGAGCGAAATGCATCTCTACCCAAAATAGTATTTCCAGCTGAACTCGATCCAGCACCTGTTTTCCCCACCAGCAGAAGCCGGAGCTCAGGATCAGCCCCACCTTCACTGTGAGTCCACATCACTGCAAAACTGAACAAAAACATGAAAAAAAAATACATTTATAAGGAGAAAAACATACTTGATGTAACTTTGATATCACGTGTATTTTACTGCAGACAGATGAAAACAAAGTACAGTTTCAGACTGTTTCAAGGACATTTATTTATATTATTTTAGCTTTTCATCACCTACGGTACATAATAACATTAAAATATTTAGAGAATCTGGAGAATCTCTGTATAAAAGATACAAGGCTGAAAACTGTTATTTATTGGCCGTGATCTTTGGGCCCTCAGACGGCACTGCTTTAAAAATAGAAATGATTCTGTAGTGAAAATCACTGCATGGGCTCAGGAACACTTCTGAAAAACACTGTCTGTGAACACAGTTCATCACTGCATCCACAAATGGTAAGTAAAACTCTAAAATGCAAAGAAGAAATCATATATAAAACAAGATCCAGAAATGCTGCCACCTTCTCTGGGCCGGAGTTAATTTAAAATGGACTGAGGGGAAGTGGAAAAGTGTCCTGTGGTCCGACGAATCAACATTTGAAATTCCTTTTGGAAATCATGGACACTGTGTCCTCCGGGCTAAAGACCAGTCAGCTTGTTATCAGTGCACAGTTCAAAAGCCAGTATTCTTGATGGTATAGGGGGGCATTAGTGCACATGAAATGGGTGATGTGAACATCTGTGAAGGCACCATTAATGATGAATAATGTATACAAGTTTTACTACAAAATATGCTGCCGTGACTGTGACAACAAATTTAAAATGGGCATATATTTTTCAAAAAACAATCAGATTTCTTCAACATTTGATTTGTTGTCTTTGTAGTATTTTCTTTTGAAAATATGGTTTACATGATTTGCATCATTGCATTCTATTTTTATTTACTTATTTTTATTTATTTTGCACAGCATCCCAACCAATATATATATATATATATATATATATATACAATTAAAAAAAAAATATTCAAGGTAATTTTGCCTCCATATTTCCACCTATTTATGTTGGGTGGAATGTACACATGAAGTGGATATTCTTCTCAAATCAGCAAGTAATTAAAAATGTATCTGATGTACATATACTGTAAGTGTTGTTATTCATCTCATAAGACCATAAGATTACATACATAATTCAACATTCATAATAAATAATGTCACCTAATTCACTGCATATTAACTGAAACTCATATAACACTAGAAATGGCAGTTCAAGGCAAAGACACTTCTGTTCTAAAGTGCTGGTTCTGATGTGCACATGGGTGTTCTACACTCACATAATGCACACCTCCCTAACAGGGTGGAAATATTTCATAGCTCCTTCTAACATCTATGCACTGTCACAGTCTACATTAACTGCTCCCTTACATAACAAGAAACTATTTTCACACACAGTGTGATTTAACAACTTTCAACGTCTTATTGGGGTTCAAAATGCTCCACATACAAGGAATGACCCAGGTAATAAAACGAGTCCGTGTTTCATTTGGTGGAATTTTATTCATCACTGACCACGTGCACTGAAACAAACCGGGAGCATTGAGGCTTTTAAAAGACACTAAACGCTTATTTTATGTTGAGGTAATATGAAAATCAACCACTATTAGAGGAGAGGAAGAATGAAGTTACTCACGAAACAGCGGTGCAGTTAAAGTCCAGCTCTGTGTCAGAAAGTGCAGTTCAGTCCTCCAGCGGTCAACCTACAATGAAACCATTCATCACTTCAGTTTCAGGTAATGAATGCAAAGAAGATCTACAAAGAAAATCTGTGGATCAGCAGATTCTTCCATACATACAGCACTGTCTTCTGGATGTGTGTCTCCAACGCAGCACCAGCTCACAGTGAAGGTTCTACTTTCACTTTTGACGACAGACGCAGAGTCAGAGGACTGTGAGCTGGGAAGGACGGCACACGAACATGGCTGAGTTTTTAAAGAACTTCAACAGTCCAGAACAAGCGCGGGGTCTCCTAACAAATGATTCCACCCAGCAACCGGTCATACCACGCATGCGCACGTCGTTAGTATCCTAGAGTAACTTTTAACATTTTATCATGTTTTTATATTAATTCTTCTTTACTTCAAGTGTATTATAGAGGCTTAGTTTAATAATTAAATACTTTCCTTTGATAACGGGATTTAGGCTATGAAATATCCTACATATAGTTTTACTACAGGTATTTTTTCTGATGAGGTGATTACCCTGCTGAAAAAGGACCATTAGACACCATTAGGATGATAACCTAATGATTTTGCTTTCTAATGAAAATTATTTTTAATTGCTTCCACTAATTTCCAGTAGAACACATTTAGATCCCATTAATAAACCATCAAATGCATTTAGAATCAACAGTTGGTCACCTCACCTAAAAAAATAAAAAAAATAAATTAGAAAACCACCAGGAACCAACAGAAATACTTAATGGTTTCAGTGTTTTTTTTGTAGCAGGTAGCAGATATCAAAATATCCTATATCCTAAATATCCTACTTATGCTGGTAGTATTTTCTGATGAGGTCATTCAGGTCATCAAACCCTTGCCTATAGTTTTGATGCAAGTAGCATTTCTGATGAAAAGGTGATTTAGGCTATGAAAATGTTCTACCTATAATAGATTTAACCTATAATACCTACAATAGTTTTATGCAGAGATCTACCTATAAATATGCGCTATGGAAAGGCATTTCAAAAAGATAGACAATTATCCAAAGAGGTGAACAACACATTATGGTTTTAGATAAATATTATTTTACAATATGGAGGAGCTGATAAGGGTTTTTTTTTAAACTCATCCTGTATAATTCAGTGGTTCTTTGTACTTTTTGGTAGGATTCCTATATTTTGGTTTTCAGAGAAGAGGACACTGGGGGCACAAAAGCTTCACAGAGCAGTGTGTAGAAAGCAAATTTCAAAATAAAAGCAAAGGCAAATGCCAGACATTTTACACTATATTTCCAGAAGTATTCACTCACCCATCCAAATCATTGAATTCAGGTGTTCCAATCACTTCCATGGCCACAGGTGTATAAAACCAAGCACCTAGGCCTGCAGACTGCTTCTACAGACATTAGTGAAAGAACGGGTCGCTCTCAGGAGCTCAGTGAGTTCCAGCGTGGTACTGTGATAGGATGCCACCTGTACAACAAGTCCAGTCGTGAAATTTCCTCACTACTAAATATTCCACAGTCAACTGTCAGTGGTATTATAACAAAGTGGAAGCGATTGGGAACGACAGCAACTCAGCCACAAAGTGGTCGGCCACGTAAAATGACAGAGCGGGGTCAGCAGATGCTGAGGCTCATGGTGCGCAGAGGTCGCCAACTTTCTGCAGAGTCAATCGCTACAGACCTCCAAACTTCATGTGGCCTTCAGATTAGCTCAAGAACAGCGTAGAGAGCTTCATGGAATGGGTTTCCATGGCCGAGCAGCTGCATCCAAGCCTTACATCACCAAGCGCAATGCAAAGCGTCGAATGCAGTTGTGTAAAGCGCCGCCACTGGACTCTAGAGCAGTGGAGACGTGTTCTCTGGAGTGACCAATCACGCTTCTCCATCTGGGAATCCGATGGACGAGTGGGGGTTTGGCGGTTGCCAGGAGAACGGTGGAGGGGGGATTATGGTGCGGGGGTGTTTTTCAGGAGTTGGGCTCGGCCCCAACTTTGTGGGAACAGTTTGGGGACGGCCCCTTCCTGTTCCAACATGACTGCACCCCAGTGCACAAAATAAGGTCCATAAAGTCATGGATGAGCGAGTTTGGTGTGGAAGAACTTGACTGGCCTGCACAGAGTTCTGACCTCAACCCAATAGAACACCTTTGGGATGAATTAGAGCGGAGACTAAGAGCCAGGCCTTCTCGTCCAACATCAGTGTCTGACCTCACAAATGTGCTTCTGGAAGAATGGTCAAAAATGCCCATAAACACACTCCTAACCCTTGTGGAAAGCCTTCCTAGAAGAGTTAAAGCTGTTATAGCTGCAAAGGGTGGGCCGACATCATATTAAACCCCATGGATTAAAAATGGAATGTTACTCAAGTTCATATGTGTGTGAAGGCAGACGAGCGAATACTTTTGGAAATATAGTGTATGCAATGTAGAAATCCTAGCTGGACGTGATTTTTGGGTCCTTATAGCAAAGCACATGACTTTTACATATGAATAAACGCTTGTGGATTTTGCACACCTCAGACGTTACTATTTTTAATGTCAGATGATCACATATTCACGTTTATATGTTAGTAACACAGTAATTTACCAGGTTTTAATCATTTGAACAGACATGCCAGGAAAGTCTACAACAACCTAAAACAATGACTGGATTGTCTGGAGCAATACAAATATTCAGTTAACTCCAAATAAACCAGCATAAGCATATTACCATGCATTAAAATCAGGGTAATCTTCATATTTAATAATAATAATAATAGCAACAACAACAAAAACAATAATAACAGTAGTAATAATAATAATAATAATGGTGGATCATTCTCAGCACTGCAGTAACACTGACGTGGTGGTGGTGTGTTAGTGTGTGTTGTGCTGGTACAAGTGGATCAGACACAGCAGTGCTGCTGGAGTTTTTAAACACTGTGTCCACTCACTGTCCACTCTATTAGACACTCCTACCTTGTCAGTCCATCTTGTAGATGTAAAGTCAGAGACGATAGCTCATCTGCTGCTGCACAGTTTGTGTTGGTCATCCTCTAGTCCTTCATCACTGGTCACAGGACGCTGCCCACAGGACGCTGCCCACAGAATGCCACCCACAGAATGCTGCCCACAGGACGCTGTTGGCTGGATATTTTTGGTTGGTGGACTATTCTCAGTCCAGCAGTGACACTGAGGTGTTTAAAAACTGCAGCATGCACTGTTGTGTCTGATCCACTCAGACCAGCATCAAGGCATTCAAGAAATATAAATAAAATTATTGCAGTGGTCAGGATGTTAAGGGTAATAATAATAAAAAAAAATTAAGCCAGGATGCAAATGGCATCTGCTCTTTGGTCAGATCACTAAGCCTTAATTGTCACAGTGGTGTCTTTGGTGAATATGGTTGTGTAAAGGCAAACTACCACATTGTTTTGATATTAGAAAATCCAGATTTGTCACTAATGGCCCAGCACAGGGTCTCAGTGGCTCTAAAGTGTCTGGTCATCACAGCAGTCATAGATCAGTATAGTTTCCCTGATTATTCCAGTTTAAGCTGCTGCGATACACTTGGAAGGTTTTAAGGGTGACAAAACAAGACGAGCTGCTAAAGGTTTAAGTCCCTCCCCAAACCAAATGAACTCCACTATGTCGCCCTTGTGACTCTCCTTCTATGGCTTTTATGCCTCCACAAGGTGGGCAGAGGTGGTCTCCACAGGATGGAGCATGTAATTAATAAAATTAATAAAAACAGTCATTCCAAACTTTTGAGTGGTGTATATCATAGACATTAAATCAACATGAATGAATAATGTGGAGACATTGAATGAGAAAAGAATTTTATTTTCATTCTTCTTGATACACAGACACTTTCTTATCTGTTAGACTTTGAAGATTAAACATATACACAAATGAGTCTATAAATCATTACTTTAACTATGGTACTTTTCATTTAAAACACCTGAAACTGAAGAAATGTAATTAAACAAAGAACATTTGTCACCAGAAGAAGTACAAGAACGTCAGGAATATAATTAAATAAACAAAAGGACACAATCAGCGTCACATTTATTAAATAATAATTATAGACCCATTATGTTCTTTTGTAGGGGTTCTTGTTTTTATGTTGTTTTCAAATTAATGCTTCATTACCCTAAAATAATATGTTTAGGGTGAAAAGCTTGATTAATATAGGCTGTAATTATATGAACTCAAACCATCTTAATGAAGACACAAAGTGACATGCTGAGCCACAGAAATACCCCAACACACACAACTCTTTCAGTAGAGAGTCTTTGTTGAGCTAAAATCTGATTAAATCAGAAGCAGAAGACAAAACTACATATGATGAGCTTTATAAACACAAATCTAGCCATCAAGTTTTTATAACATCTTTATAACATCTTACTCACTTCTTCTGTCACTGAGTATTTCTCTTCCCTTGAGGATTTTAGCCAACAAGTGATGCGTTACTGAGATTTTTATAAGCTGAGCAAGTATTTCTTGCCACAAATCTCATCATGTAAGTTCTCTGGCTCTTTATCGCCGTGGGTAAAGAGAACGATTGTGTACTTTGACACTTCTCTCCCAAAAACCTTGAATAACAAGGGGTAAGGGGGCAGAAAGAGAGAGAGATAGAAATTAACCTTACATTTTCCACATTAATGCAACTATTAATACATTTAATAGCAGGAAATTTTTGCAACCTTTTTGTGGCAGGATTTCCTATCATTGTGCATTCTTAAACACACACACACACACACACACACACACACACCACTCAATGATAAATAAATGGAAATCTTTGGACTTTCTGTTTTGATATTAGAAAATCCAGATTTGTCACTAATGGCCCAGCACAGGGTCTCAGTGGCTCTAAAGTGTCTGGTCATCACAGCAGTCATAGATCAGTATAGTTTCCCTGATTATTCCAGTTTAAGCTGCTGCGATACACTTGGAAGGTTTTACGGGCGACAAAACAAGACGAGCTGCTAAAGTTTTAGGGAGGCCCTTGTTTCACTTTCTGCCACTAAACCTCTGTTAATATGTCCCTTTCTGTCCGCACCCCAGACTACAGATCATAGGTAAATGCCTTAGTAATGCTACATATATATATTATATAACACTCCTGTTCTAAGAGGTGGTAACTCACCATTCAGCTTTTCCACAGTTCAGGTGTTGACTGTGTGAGGACTGACTGTACCTGTATGAACACAGTGATGTCTCGCCTCATGATATCAGTGAAGCTGGTTGGACTTCATACTGAGAGTCAACAACAACAGA